GGGGGGGGGAGAAGAGGCCTCACTCGAATCCCTGAGTAGCCTGGCTGCTGTTCGGGGGTGGGAGGGCCGAGGGCCCCTCGAAGAAGAAGAAGAGAAGAGGAGATTGGATTTATGCCCCTGGCCCTTCACTACCCGAGGGAGTCTCAGAGCGGCTGACAAACTCCTTTCCCTTCCCCTCCCCACAACAGACACCCCCTGTGAGGGAGGTGGGGCTGAGAGAGCTCTTGACAGAAACGGCTCTTTTTCAAGGACAGCTCTTGTCAGAACTACGGCTTGCCCAAGGTCACATCTGCAGGTGCAAGTGGGGAATCAGACCCGGTCCTACCAGATTAGAGTCCGCCTGCACTTCACCACGACACCAAACAGGCTCAGGAAGGACAAGGCAGTACTTGGGGGCTTTTGGCAGGAGGGACGTAAGCCGAGGGCATCCCCGTGTGGCTGTCCCTGCCCACAACCCTGGGGAATCCCCGCTTCTCTCCACCCACCAGCCCCAGAGGTACCTGGACCACCTCCTGACAGGCAGCCCCCAGGAGTCCCCTCTGGCTGAAGTCGAGGTGCCCGGCCCCCGTGGGCAGCAGCAAGGAGTGGAGGCGCCGGTAGGCCCGCAGGTCGTAGATGTGGAGCTTCCGGTCCAGCCCGGAGGTTGCCATGTACCTGCCGGGAGAGAGCAGCGGAGCGCTTGCCCAAAGTCCCTCTGCGTCCCAGCACCCTCAGGCCCTTCCCCCCAACCCCTTCGACCCACAACTGTGGCCTCTTCACCAAGGCTCCCTCTAAGCTGTGGCATCTTCTCGTGAGCAGAAATTCTACTTGGTGAGCTACTGGCATTAAAGTGGTGAGCCAGCAATCTGGCTGCTGTATCCATTAGCTGGCTCTGGAGCCCCGTCCCTTCCCGAGCGAAGGCAAAAAATGTGTGAGCTGGAGGCTAAAAAACGGTGAGCTGGCTCACACTCACTCAGCTTAGAGAGAACACGGCTTGCAAGCAATGCTCCCTCTAAGCCGTGGAGTCTGGTGAGCAGAAATTCTACTTGGTGAGTCACTGTCATTAAAGTTGAGAGCGAGCCATTTGGCTGCTGCATCCATTAGTTTGCTCTGGAGCCCCATCCTTCCTGAGTGGAGACAAAAATGTGTGAGCCGGGAGCTAAAAAACTGTGAGCTGGCTCACACGCACTCAGCTTAGAGGGAACCCTGCTTGCCAGCAAGGCCCGCCTGTTTGCCAGGGGGTTGGGCAGAGGTGAGAACGGCAGGCAGCTTTTCATGGGGGTGGGGGAGTTCGGGGGCTTGCAGTCTCATCTTTGGTTTTCGCAGGGGAGGCGTTAACTATTATCACCATCGGCCCTCCTCGGCGGGGAAAGGGGGAACTACGGATGTTTCCGTAAAGGTGTAAATAAATAAATGTTCCACTCACGTCCCGGAGCGGTCGACAGCCAAGGCCCTCACGGCCCCGCGGTGGCACAGCATCCGCACCAGGGGCTCCTTGACGTTGGGGCTCCACAACGTCACCGTGCCTGGCAGGGGGGAGGGGGGGAGAAGAAGAGATTGGATTCATACCCCCTGGCCCTTCACTACCCAAGGGAGTCTCAGAGAGGCTCACAAACTCCCTTTCCTTCCCCTCCCCACAACAGACGCCCTGTGAGGTAGGCGGGGCTGAGAGAGCTCTGAGCTCCGAGAGAACTTGTGACTGACCCAAGGTCACCCAGCAGCTGCGAGTGGAGGAGGAGTGGGGAATCAAACCCGGCTCTCCCAGATCAGAGTCCGCGCACTTAACCAGACTGGCTCTCAGTCCCTGGGTGAAGAGGGCCCAAGGCGGTGGAGGGGGGCAGGAGGCCCCCCCCGACTCACCATTGCTGTGCCCCAGGTGGACGATGGGTGCAGGAGGCCCCCCCCGACTCACCATTGCGTGCCCCAGGTGGACGATGGCGTTGGAGGGGTTCTGGGTCATGACGCCGAGGCGCCCTCCTTTGGTGCAGAGGGTGGCCACCTCCTTGCCCACGGAGACGTCCAGGTACTGTAGGAACCCCGTCTCACTCTGTGCGGGAAAAGGGGAGGCAAGTTAGACCAGCAAAGGGGGGCCCCCTCCCCACTTGCAAAGCCCCCCAAAGCCTCGCTCCCCGGGCTGGGGACTCGTCAGTGCCCCTGGACCCAAACTTAGCTCTGTTGCTTCAGACCAACACGGCTACCTCTCCCCCCCCCCCACCCCCGGAATCGTCGTTCATGAAAAAGAGCCACACTGCAGAACTCAGCGCCACAGTCTTTTTCTCGGCCGACATCCAGCTCAGACAGAAAGAAGGAACCCAGTCCAAAGGGACTTCTGGCTCCAGGAAAGGGCCAAGGAGGAGCCCTGCTGGATCAGACAAGTGGTCCATCTAGTGGCCAGTTTTCAACAAGTCAGATCTGGGTCCCCGGGAAGGCACACGGCAGCTGTGGTGGTGGTGGGGGCACCCAAGGGCCCAGCTGGAAGGAGGGGCCTCTGCCTTCCCCGCCTCGCTGTTTTCCCAAGCCGAAACAGCCCCAGGGCCGGCCTTATTTGCCCCGTCTTGGAGCCGCCTGGGAATTAACACAGCGCTCCATCCACTTTCACACAGTTTCACACAGGGCAAAAACAGAGGGCGCCGAAGCCTTCCCTTGACGCTGCCTTCCAGCACTGGAGGGTCATGGGCAATGCTCCCTTTAGGCTGTGGAGCCCTGTGAGCAAAAATTCTACTTTGTGAGCTGCTGGCCTTAAAGTTGTGAGCGAGCGATTGGGCTGCTGCATCAATGAGGTTGCTCTGGAGCCCCATCCCTTCCTGAGCTAAGACAAAGAGAAGAGGAGGAGGAGATTGGATTCATACCCCATGGCCCTTCACTACCCAAGGGAGTCTCAGAGTGGCTGACAAACTCCTTCCCTTCCCCACAACAGACGGACACCCTGGGAGGCAGGCGGGGCTGAGAGAGCTCTTGACAGAAACGGCTCTTTTTCAACAACAGCTCTTATCAGAGCTACGGCTTGCCAAGGGTCATCCAGCAGGTGCGAGTGGAGGAGGAGTGGGGAATCAGACCCGGCTCTCCCAGATTAAAGTCCGCGCACTTCACCACGACACCAAAAGGTGTGAGCTGGAGGCTAAAAAACTCTGAGCCAGCACACACCGACTCAGCTTAGAGGGAACACTCATTCGGAGGCTTCCTGCCTTTGGATGTGGAGGTCTGGCCCTGCGAAGACCACGACTGCCTCCTCCACAACCGGAGCCCTTCTCTTTCTTTCTGCCCGCTGCAGGGGAGGGACTGTGCAGCTGTGCTTGACACAAGCCTGGTTCTTCATGTCCGCGACTACCGGGGTGGGGGGGGGGGGGCGGGTCTAGAGGCAGATGTCTTCGAGCCTGAGGCTTTGGGGACATCCCTCAAAGAAAGAGGAACGGAAGACGCTGCAGACGCAGCATCGGATGTGTCAAACTTGGGCGCTTGTCTGTCGTGAATTATGGGGATTTGGGGCCTGCAGGGGAAGGGAAATTCCGGAGTGTATGTGTGTGGTAGCTCTGGTGTAGTGGCGATGGAACTCCTCTAAAGAAACCTTAGGGATGCCCTTGGACACGGTCTGTGCTGGCTTCGCCATGATACATAAAATAATGGTGACTTTACAGGTGGGGGTTTGGAGTGTGCGAAAGCTAGGCGGGATGGCTGTGGGGTGTGATTGGACGGGACCTGTTTGAACTGTCTATAACTGTGGGATTTGGCACCAGAAAAGAGATTGGATTTATCCCCCCACCCTTCACTACCCAAAGGTGTCGCAGAGCGGCTTACAAACTCCTTTCCCTTCCCCTCCTCACAACAGACACCCCCTGTGAGGTCGGTGGGGCTGAAAGAGCTCTTGACAGAAACTGCTCTTTTTTAAGGACAGCTCTTATCAGAGCTACGGCCTGCCCAAGGTCATCCAGCCAGGTGCCAGTGGAGGAGGAGTGGGGAATCAAACCTGGTTCTCCCAGATTAGAGCCCGTACACTTAACCACTACACCAAACTACCGGCCTTAGCTTGGAACATCTTTATTTCTCAATAAACAGATCACTGCCAGAGAGTGTTCTCGAGAGTAACTTTGTCCAAGAGTCTGACGGGATGCCAGAGCTTTCGATTCAGCAACTGAGACGGCAAAAAGCAAAGGACCTTCAGTCCCTGCAAGTCAAAACCTGCCCTCTGCTCGGAGAACTCCAGTGGGTGGAAGCCCAGGCGGGAGGAGTCCAGTTTGGTGCAAGGGAGCACCGTGACTAGCTTGACCTTCCCCCGCCTCCCAGGGCCCGGAAAAAAACGGGAAAAATTCAGAAAAAACTGGTTTCCCCCCCTTTTTTTCCTGAAGCTTTTTTGTTTTTTTCCAAAAAATTGGAAAAATTGAAAAAAGAAAAGAAAAAAATTGATTATGGAACGTTTTATTTTAACATGGTGAATAAAATATTTTAAGACAATGTGTTCAAATATTTTCCAAATCATTTCTAAAATATATATATATGGTATCAGATTGATCTAATTTCTGTGCACTGAGGACAAGCAAGTCCTAGGTTACAAACTGAACTCTCCAATGCAAGGACAAGATGCATTTCTTTCTTTAGGAGGTGCGATTGTCAGAAGAAAATAAAAAAGTTTCAGTTTTGTTTTTGCATGTGGGTGGGTATTCTGTTTGTAATAATTGTTTGGATACACTATATTTTTAATATGCTAGTTGTGATAATTTCATGCCAAGTAAAAATGTCCATAGTCATGTTTTATGTTCCTAAAGTAACAGAATGACTTTCAATCTAGAAAACAAAAGAAATGCTAATGTAGCATTTTCTTCAATTTTTCTGAAAATTTCCGTTTCCCCCCCCCAAAAAATGGAAAAAAACCGGGTTTTTTGCTTCAAAATGT